GTAGGGCCAAGGGTCAGTCATAACCAGCCAGGTTTATCAATATAAATGCATAGTTATGCTGAAAAACACAGACAGGCGAAAGGGGCAGATGGAGGAGAGACAGAAGAGAGGTGGACTAGAGACAGTGGAGAGTTGAGTTGGAGACTCAAGAAGGAGAGAAAGTGACATCAGAGATTGGAACAAGGCGTCCGCTAACATGTACTGCTGATATAAGTACTGCTGCTTCTGCTACCACAAATATTACTACTACTGTTAAGGAGGAACGCCACTATAAACTTTAAGCCGTGCACAGAAATCTTATTCCCCCATCGTAAGAGTCATATATCATTCTGAGAAGATTTAACAATTAATCCTCTCTCTCTCGAATCCAGTGTATGTGTTTTTTTTTTTTTACATCAATTACTTTTCTTTTCTGTAACCCGTTTTCTTTTCTGCTATATAAAAGACATTAACAATTCAATCATTGAATAGTTGTTTGTCCGGCTTTCTGCAGATTATTTTTTTTTTTTCCTGCATTCTAAATTTCTTAGCGTAGACTCTCCAGCCATGTCTACATCTTCAGTCAACCGTGAATGGATGAACATCACTTCTGCTTTCTGGATCAAACCAAACACAACGTGGGCAGGAAACAGGATTAAACCAGTGGACCGGTCGAATAATCTACGGATGCTCAGGGGGACCTATGGCCATTCCCTTAAGTTTGGTTAGGACCGAGTAGACACCTCAACCCAGATAGTAAGACGTCGGAGGTTGAGGGGCTGGGGCGAAAGTGTTAGAATGTTGACTTTTATAGCTCAAGGATATTAACAAATGATACACGAGTTATCTTCTTTCATAGACTTCATGTATATTAAGTTTCCTTTCAGTTAGGATAGAAAATAAAAATCATCACATTTTTAATACAAGGGTTGATCAGAAAATAATGCTTGTTATTTAAGCACAATAGATTTAATATTAGAAACATAAAACGCATACCAAAATGAATATTAGTTTCAGAATGTCAAATTTTTTTTTTTGTTTATTTTTTACTTTGTTTATCCAATATAAAGCTCAAGGGCCACTCAAGATAGAGGTTTACTGAGTGATATTGTAAGTGGTGAGTAGTAAGTGTATGAAGATGAAAAGGATAGATATCAGTTGACCTTGGATATAAAGAGACCAAGATTGTAGTTGTCAGGAAAGCATTCTCTTGGAAGTTTGTTCCACAAAGTAATAGTATTAGGAAAGAAGCTGTCTTGAGTGGAAATTGCTTTTTATCAAAGGAACCTAAAGGGAATGGGGGTGGTTGGCCACCATGAACACCTAAATAAGGCAGCAATATTCTATTTTTGGTCTGATCTGACTCTTATAAAGACAGCATGGTTCTTAACAATTCCTTCCTTCCTTAATTGTGATATTCCATTTTTGAGTGAGAGGACATACAAGCATATCATAAAAGCTTCTCTGTTACCTTATTAACTATGTGCAATTTGCCTATTTTTATTTCATCACTGAAAACTGCTGCCCACTGAGAGCCTCTTTCATGGTCCCAAATAGATGAAAACTCTTGAGAAGTAACCACACTTGGCTTCTGTATAGAAGTTTACCAATATTTTTAGGACCCACTTTGCACAAATCTGTGAGTAACTAAGAGACAGCACTAAACTGCAGGCACTACTATGGCTCACCTGAAGGTTTTTTTTTTAATAAAATTTTGTAATTGTGATTCTTCTATCAACTGTAATGAAAACATAATCCTGTCTGGTTTTATACACACTCACAGCAGTAGTGACTGGCCTGCCAATGTGAGGGTTTTTCAGTAATGTCATTTTTTTTCTTTCTCTCTCAAGTTTCCATTAACTTTACTGACACATTCATATATATCTAAGATTGAACTGACCAGCCATGGGTTTGCAGATGACTCAGCAAACTAGAATTTCTTTTACATACCTTTTTACATATGTGACACACAAAAGAATTTTGGAGAGTTATAAAAGTGACTTTTTTCTCATGCACTTTCATGTGTCTCTTCAGTTTGGCATCAGATTTGCATATGATGACTATCAAACAAACAGAGAAAAAAAAGGAGAAAAGAGAGAGAACAGAGGAAAAAAGAGAGAAAATAGAGAAGTGAAAATGAAAAAGAAGGAAAAGGAAAAATGAAAAAGAAAAAATGAAAAGGAAGGAAAAGGAAAAATGAAAAAGGAAAAATGAAAAAGAAAGGAAAAAGGAAAAAGAAAAGAAAAATGAAAAAGGAAAAAGAAAAGAAAAATGAAAAAAAAGAAAAAAGAAAAATGAAAAAGAAGAAAAATGAAAAAGAAGAAAAATGAAAAAGAAGAAAAATGAAAAAGAAGAAAAAAAGATAGAAAAGAAATATCCTTAAAGGGGAGATTTAATCTGTCCAATGTTTTACCTCTGGTACACATGACAGAAATGGTTTCAATTGTACACTGGAAGACATCACACAAAGATCATGATCACCAAACCCTCGACTCACACGTATTGTTCCCATCAGACAGGCCTGAAAAGAGAGAAAATTCCAAAAAAAAAAAAAAAAAAAAAGAAATTATGAATTATAAAGAATACAAAATCAAAATGATTATAACTTTAGATCATTTAAAATGGGGAAAAAAAAATGTAGAACAATATATGAGGATCTGTTGAAAAGTTATTGTTCAAATTCTTTTTTAATGCTCTTGATTGGCATGACAACTTTTCAGCACCCTTTTGTATGGCGATACATCAATAAGTTCTGAGCTTAATGATGAAAAAAAAAATAATGTTAATTTGGAAAATTGGCTAGGCTCAGAACTTTTCAGCACTCCTTGTGTTATATATATTTGAATAAAAAACAGACCACTTTAAGGTTCCATGTAATAAATTATTTCACCACAGCCCTTTTAAAGGGCTCTGGATCATCAGATTTTACTTCCAAAGGTTGAAATGAAAAATGAAAAGGAAATGAGGGTTAGGGATAAAGAATTGAAATGGTACATCTAACTCACTCATGTCTTCTCTCTCCCCCCTCACTTCCTCAATTTTACACATGCTTAATACGGCCTGTCAAAAATGTGTACATTTCTTTTCATTTTAACCTTTGGAAGTAAAGTCTGATGATCCAGAGCCCTTTAAAAGGGCTGTGGTGAAATAATTTATTACATGGTACCTTAAAGTGGTCTGTTTTTATTCAAACATATTTGCTCTGAATTTACATTGAGCTCTCCGGATATCATCCTCCTTGGGTCTACCCATATGGATTACCTAGTTTTGCATAAACTATATATATATATATATATATATATATATATATATATATATATATATATATATATATATGCAATATTTCTATGCAAACTGTATGATACGTTTTCTATTGAATGTTGGTATATGTTTTAGAATTTCTAAAAACAAACTTGCAATGAGCAATAGTTGACAATTCCAGCAAAGAGAATTCAGAAAAGAGAAGAAAAACAATTTGTGAATTACTGAATTCTGTTCTTTTTTAAAAAATTCTGTTGGCATAGAACTTAGTTACATTTAGCCAACTCAACTGTAAATTAATGAGACTTTATCATCAGTCAAGTATTGTTTTTAAATTCATAAATTCTAGGTAGCATAGCAAAGAGCTCATCCAAACAATTACTATAAAAGTATTTATAAAAAAGGCACAGGGAGGTTACCTTATGGCTATAGGAAAGTAACTGAAGCAGAGATGCCAGATCAAGACCAATAATATTGCTGATTCTTTGGATTTTATCAAGGATTTCTAGATATATACTAGGAGATACTGACTATATATGGCTGTAATATTCTAAGCATGGACAAATGGTAGACTTATAGATATGAAAGATAGATTCTGGCAAGAAAAATTGTCTAGCATGGCATAGTAAACCAACTTTCTTAGCAGCTGATCTAGCAATGGATTCAATATAATCTTTCTACTTCATGTCAGCCAAGAACATTAGCCCGAGAAGATCACTCTCCTGATAGAAGGCAGTGAAGGGTCTCTCAGATGATAAATAGAGAGCAGTTTAGTTATGGAAGTGTTAAAATTAACAAGACATCCTTTGCTCCAGTTAACAGACAGTCACTAATTTGACTTTATCAAACTTACTATCAAGACTGGAGTAAATGATTATTAATCAGCATAGATACCTAGCTGAGAGTTGATGTCACCAGGAAGGTCCTTAATGAAAATTACAAAGAAAGTAGGACCAAAAATAGAGCTCTTGGAGACACCTGCATTAGTACAAAAAGGATCTTGAAGAACCAACAGCCTCAGCTTCGCCATTCTTATCCAGAGCTTGATATACTCTTTCTGCAATTACTGTCAGTACATCAGGAGTTGACTTAGAGAAATGAAAGCTACATTACTTATCTGAAAGAAGGCTCTGCCATGTGAGATGCTTAACCAATCTAGTGTTGATTAGGGCCTCTTGTAGTTTTCCAAGAAGAAGTAGATGGCTAATAGGCCAATAGTTGGAAGGGTAAGACTGCTCACTAGAGTTCTTAAAAACTGGAACAACAGATGAGGATTTCCAAAAAGCAGGAAAGCAAGAGGCAATGAGGCATTTATTACGCACTTTAGAGAGAACAGAACACACATGTTAACGACTATTACAAGGATACCATCAGGTCCACACGCTTTGTGGTGATCCAGATTAGAGATGAAAGCAGAAACTATAGAAGGGGTTATATGCATATCATTCAACAGAGACTCAGTTCTAAGTGGAAAGTTAAGCAGGGATACTCCAGATAAGTCAAGAGTAGAGGTTAGGAAGAATTTATGGGCAAAATATTCAGCTTTATCAGCAGATGTTAATACCTCAAATTGATTGAAATGAGGAGGAATAGAAAATTTACTCTTATTTAATACACTATTACAGAGCCTCCAGTAACCATGAAAGCTAAACGCATGTTAAATGCAATACAGTGCTTCATTCTCTCAGCAAACGGAGACTTAGCTCCCTCGAGAACACATTTACATTTATTATGTGCAGCCACGAATCAGTGTCTTTTGTGATGGGAACTGTCACACTGGTAAAACTAGAAATAGAAGTTCCTGTGGTCTATAGCACAAAATACTCTGCTGTGGAGAAGGTTGAGGTTCCACCTGGTATTTCCAGGAAGGAATAAAAGCATCTATGCCAGCTTTGACTGAAGAGGAAACCTTGGTGTTGCAATTATCAATATGAAAATTAAAAATGTCAGCCTAAGTGCCATTTCAAAGAAAGTAATGGAGTAAAACCCAATCGTCAATGTTGATAACAGAAAGAGGTCTTATGAAGAGGAGGTTCCTGCCTAACAGATCAGTGGAATGAGATATCAATAGATATGACAGCATTGGTCAGAGTTGCCAAGAGGAGTGTGTTTTGATGCTCAGCAAGAGCTAAGAGAGGAGGTAAGAAATAAATCAAGTAAAGAAGCCTGTTGCTCAGATTTGCTAGGGAAACAAGTAGAGAAATCCATGATTTAAATAAGGGATTGAGCAATGGAAAAAAAATAACTTGTACATAATAAAAAAAAAATAGTGAATAAATAAAATGCACATAAAACAAAACATCCAAGTCACATATATAAATGTGTATTTGGGTACCTCAGAGTGGTGTAATGGTTAGCATGCTTGCTTCGCTAGATCTTTTACAACTAAATAGTGAGTTCGATCCTCACTTGGTGCTCCACACTTTCAGCCTTGTGCCACATCTAAGCTATGCTTAGAAAATAACTATAAATTTGTGTATCTTTAATCCTAATTTTAATTAAAAGGAATATAGATAAAATATTGATAAATTTTAATAAGTAAGATAATATTAATAAATATAAATAAAAGATAATATTAATACATTGACAGCCAACCACAAGATAACTCCAAGTTGATAGTTTTTATTATGATACCAACTAGGAGTTATCTTGTGCCAATGTGTTTATTTGTAATGATACTTTTAGTGTGAAATCAATGTTAAGACTTCAGTTGAAGCTATAATTCTAAACATAAAAATATTGTTATTGCCTAAGTTGGCTATTATAAAATTAGCACTTGAGGTCAGATTTCATAATTCACCTCTGGCAGTTAATGTGTTAAAAAAAATGAAATGCAGAGAATTCTGCCAATAGCTAAATGTATATGAATGAATGGAAAAATTTACAGTGTGTATAAACTTTTGAGAATTTATCTTGGTTGCAAATAAGAAATGATATACTCTAAAAATGACAGAAGTTTATCACATTTTAAGAATAAATTATTTATTTCCAAATAAAATTGATTTCCAAAATTCAACTCGCACTGCAAAAGAGAAATTTTAAACATTCTAATCATATATATATTTGGAAGCATTTTAGCATGTAAACTGAAGAGGCAAAAAACTATAGATGATTTCACCCTTTCTTACTTGTATGACATCATAGGTAAAGATGTAGTGTAGCTGTGGCAAACATGAAATGCAGGCAAAGTTTAACATGGATAGCATAATGGTAATGAAAATTTGAAATCTTGTACAATATTTTTGAGGTGGCATCATTTCTAGGTTTTTCTGAAACAGTATCAAAAGGTATTTCAAGAATACATAACTTCCAGACAACAGCAACATGTGAAAATTGTGTATCGACAAGTGACACAAGAATGGGTCTGCCAGAAACTAACAAAGAGGGTAGCAACCCTACAATAAGAAACTAAGTTACATCACAATTCAACACCATTGTCGCTTAACTCATCAGTCAATTCACTGTCCAATGTATACTACATTCCACGTAATTGCATTATAGTCAACCATTAACAGTACCATTATTGATATACCAACATTGGTTACCTGGCAGCAAACATTGGTATTGGACTATGGAAGATGGACACTATGTTGCTTGATCAGAATAGTCAGGTTTCCAACTCTCAGATGGTCAAGCATGTGCAAGGAGCAGACTGCATGAGGCTATGGATACAGCCTGTCAGTGAAATTAGTGATGGCTATTTAATCTGTAATGGTGTCAGCTATGTTCTGTTGGAGTTTGCAAGGACTACTAGTGAAACTGGAGTCTATCTTAACAGGAGGGACATACAGAGATCTTATAGCAGATGATTTGCACCTTTTTATTTTTGGCAGGTTTTCCCAGTGGGAGACAATTTGTTCCAGCAAGATAACAATTCCTATTGTGCATAGGGGACACAAAACTGATTCCAAGAACAATCATTTGATCTCCAGGTATTCCATTGCCCACCCACTTCATGTTCACCAGATTTAAACTCCATTGAGCATATATGGCAAATGATGCAGACCTTAGCATATTTTATGCATACCATTTGATTTCAATCACAGGAATGATTGCTAAAAATCCCCCAACCCTAAATTTATAGACAAATTCTACAGATGCATGCTGGAATTTCTTCCTAGTCTTTCCTTGAATTCAAAAGACTATAACTACTTGACTGAATCCCTTTTTTGCATATGAAAACTGTTTCTATATTGTGAACTTTTTATTTGGTTATCAGCTTATTAGTTGCTTTGTCTTGCATTAGATTGGCTTGTATTA